GGTTGTTTATCAAACAGTACAAATAATGTTCAAGGCTAAAAATAAAACACTACCAGAAAACATCCAGACATTGTTCAGTGAAAGGCAGGAGGGTTTTATATATACAGAATGAAATGGGGTGTGTGTGTGTGTGTGTGTGTGTGTGTGTGTGTGTGTGTGTGTGTGTGTGTGTGTGTGTGTGTGACCCTTTTGCGTGTTTCCCACATTTGCATCCAGTTGTTTTTCCACTCCTTCAGTCACTGAAATGTCAGCTCAGGTACCTTTATCGTCTTATGACCCTCCAGCCTCTCTTATGATCTCTGATAGTTAGAGGGGATTTGGTTGGTTTTTATTTGTTTATTTTGAGGTTACCTTGTTACATTGCAGGTGCAGATCTCGCCAGTGTCAGGGCAACCAATGACCTCTGTACCTCATGTGCACCGTGATCAAGTGTATGTAGTTTCTCTCACTGTTTTGAGATTCTGCCATGACATTTGATGACCAACAGGCGCCTGTTTCTGTGGGAACCTGGATTAATGTGGTGAGAACTCAGACATCAAAGCTCCCCTTAAACTCTATGACCACTGTCCTGTAAAAATGTACACAGACACGTCGTACAGAGTTTCAAGATTCCTTAAAACCACTTTTTTTCTGACACTGGTCGACCTAAAATACATTTCAGTAGAATTGGGTCAAATATGACCTGAAGCAGAGTCATGTTTAAAAATGTTACAGCACCTGAAGAAAAGTATAAGATTTTAAAATATAATTTTTGTACATTTTGGGTCACTTCAGGAGAAGTAATCAAATGTCAGGCTAAAAGAATGGCATTTAGGGTGTTTTTACTGCTGTCAAATGTCAAAACTGCTCAGATTTGACATGAACAGTATGAAAGAGTTAATACTCTGAAAAGGAACAAAGCTTTGTCTGTATAATGGTACTCAAAGTGGAGCATCTGATACCAGATAACTACCATCGTGGAGACAAAGTTAACTGGCATAAGAACAACTGAAAGCACAGGAGAACAAAGCTGACGGGACATTTGCTACATCAAAACACATGAATAATAGCTGCCACAAGATGTCAGCAAAGCTTCATGTTTCTTCATACTTACATCACACATGACGAGAGTTTCATCAGCAAATGAGAACTTCTACTTCTTAATACTTGTTGAATGCCCCTCAGGACTTCTTGTGTTTGACACCAACAGTGTCAGTATGATCATATATGATCCTGAAGAGCCATAATACATGTGTACATGTGTCAGAGTGTGACAGTGTGGAGAAATGAAAGCAGCTCACACACCAGTGTCCATGTTGGGAAGTTTTCTCCCTCATTTACAAAATGTTACACAAACACAGGACTTTCACTCAGGAGACCACTGTTGGTGTCCTGTGTGACACTAAAAGTTACATATTTCAGTTCTTCACTTGGAAGAATACAAACCCAGTGGGGCCCTTAGATCTTCAGGAAGCAGTCAACTGGTAGAACCTCGAGTCAGAACCAAACAGGGTGAAGCTGCTGGAAGCAACTTCATAACCACGTTCACATCTGAAGTCTGAAAACTCAGCTGTTCTCCTGTGCCTTCAATTGATCTGTGTCTCTGCTGCACCTATATTTCCTTTGTTGAATTTGAGGCAACTTATTACAGCACTGTAACTGTGTTTCTGGTAAATCCATCTATATTGTAATTAACTTCATCCAATTTAAATATTCACTGTATTTGAACTTATGTTTTTCTGATTTTATTACGTATTGCTGATGCTTTTCTGAGTCTTTGTAAAGGACTGTGAATTGCCTCTGTAATTAAGATGTGCTTTATAGATAAAGTTGCAGTGTTTTAATGCAGTGAGTGAGCCAAATGCAGACATTCACAATTCTGTCAAGAACCAAATTCTTTTATTTGAATTTTCAGAAAATAAACTATTTTAAACATTAGATAAAATGTGATATAATATTTTATCCATATTGACAATCAGTCAACAGCTGCAAAATATCTGCTCTGAATCAAATCCTAAAAACAAGCATGCGTCCCACTGAGACGCCCCCAAATAAAACTTAGATCAGATAAAGAAAACAAACTATCATTTATGATCTCTACAAAATATAACAAAAAAGCAAATCAAACCCAGTCTGGGATAAACATACATGAGTGACAACTGAAAATATAGTAAACAATCTCATTAAAATGAATATGAGAGACTAAAGCAGTAAAAAGTCCAGCAGACTTGTTAAGATGCTCTTTCTGTGTTAAAGTCTAAATAAAGGTTTAGTTTAAGACAGTGTGGCGGCTTTAATGAGTTCAGTGAATCAAAAATAATATCTGGTTTGTTTCTGTGATTAATGATAATAATGATAGACATCAACTTACAGCTAAACTTATGGAAAACATATTTGATTAACATTTGTCGAAGCCATCACAAATTTCCCAGCGAGCAGAACTCCCACAGCAGAGTCAGGACAAGACTTCCTGCTATCTACAGTTAGGGGTCTTACTTGAAATCATATCAGTAGAGGACAGAATCTGTTGTGTCTCTGTCCTTCCTGTCTGCCTACATGTCTTCTGTTCCCTCCTCTATCTCTGTCTCTGTGTCCCTCTGTCTTTGCCTACTTGAAGCTGACTGTGGATGTGTTGTCACCACTGATACTGCCTTACTCCTGGTTTCATTGCTGTCCATTCTGCAACAACACACAGCGGCCAAGACCCTGTCTATGGCACCTTTCCTCATGAAAACATACAGAACTAAATCTGCAAGAGGACTCAACTTAAGTAACACAGGAAACGCCATGTAAAGAATGTAATTATTTCTGTTTGATGTTGCAATGAACCAAATGACAGTGGGCAGGAACAGCAGCGTGTAAATCAGCAGCACCAGGACCAACAGTCCTATAATTCGTCGTTTTTCGTCAAATGGGACCGAGTTGGTGGCAGACAGAGCTCTGAGGGTCCCACCCAGGAAAAATATGAGCAGTGGGAGGGGAAGGAGTAAAAAGACGGCAACAATGATTTCGGCTGTTTCAGGGTCCGAGCAAAAAGAGACAATGTGACTGAGAGCAGGAAAAACCCAGACCACAACACAGACCAGCACAGAGATCTTGATGGTTCGTCTGAAGCGGTACCACAGTGGGCAGGCGATGACCAAATACCTGAAATACAAGACAGACACAGCTTCAGAATTCTGCAGTCCAACAAAGGTCAGACAGAAGGAGCTCCACATACTGGACAGACAGACAGTTACCTTTCCAGGGCGACACACACCATGAAGCCAACACTGGCCTGCAGACAATAGATGTATATGTTAAAGAAGATGACGTATATCATACGGTTCTTGGCAAGCACCACCTCAGTGATCATGTAGCAAAACTGAATGACGTCAGAGATGAGAAGGTTGATGATGTAGATCGGAGCAACATGATCATTTCTCACCTGCAGGAAAAAGAAAAGTAAACAAGCAGCTGTCAACATGTTCTGAACTCCACCTCCTCTAAAATATGTCATCGTCCTCTGCCCAGCAGCTGCAGTCAGAGCCATTTATAAATGTCAGTCTTGTTACTACAGTGATTGGCCAGTGTGTCATATCTAAGGACCAGATGTGCTGCAGCTTTTGCAGCTGTTTTTCAGACACAGATATGATGCAGTCTGTCTCAAACACATGTGCTGTGTTTATCAAACAGAGGGTCCAGACTGGAGTCAGTTTGTCATGTTTGTGTTTGCAAGGTAAAACTCCCTC